TAGATTTTATTTCCAGGACAACAGAAGGCTCATTAAAAACCAAAGCAAACAATCTGACCATGTGGTAAGTAAGAGAGGTTCTGTAGCGACGCATGCAATGTCTGATTTGTAGCCATTTTATGTAATAATATTTACAAGCTGATAAATGTTAAAAGTACATGACAGACATAGTCGAAACATCAGTCATTACTTTTCAGTTAAATTGAAGTATAACATGTGTGATTCAGGGCATGAGGCAAAGCAGATTAGACGATAGCTGTAACTCCATTTACTTGCTTTCATTTTTTTCCGTTCTTCCGGGGACCCATGAGCCGATTGGAAAGGGAGGAGGGCTCCCTAGCTTGGGTGGGCAGTTGCAGCTTTTATTTTCTTTATAGAGTGTCATTTCAATCCATTCAGTAATGCACAAAAGGGCACCAAATTGCAGGTCAATGTCTGCAAAACTGGCTGCATTATAATGATTTAGTGTTTTTTATTTTTTTAAGTTTGTGGCATCCTTATTGAATCTGGATAACTCCAAAAGATGGAGGGCAGGTAGACTTTTTTCTTGCCTTCAGTACAGGAATACTAGGTTTTTTAGCTAGCATGGAAAGCTTTTTATTTTTTAATTTTTTTGCTTTGAACTCAGAATTCAATATAAGACAGATTTAATTAGCAACTTTAGAGTAGTTTATGTTTATTTATTTGGCAGACGCTTTTATCCAAAGCGACTTACAATTTATAACCTATAGGGCATGTTGTGATCTGTGGGGGAAACCGGAGTACCCGGAGGGAACCCACGCATGCACGGGGAGAACACGCAACTCCACGCAGAAAGGCTGCAGCCGAGTTTCGAACCTGCAACCTTCGTGCTGCGAGGCAACAGTGCTAACCACTGCGCCACCATGCAGCAGAGTAGTTGTGGATTCAAGCCCTTTGGACTCACTAGATTATAGCAAGGAAACAGAAACAAAGAAAGATTTGAACAATCAGCCTGTTGTTTTGGCAGTCGTTAGTAGCACACACTTTGTTTGCCACCTCCAGGTGACTGAGTAGCTATAGATTGCACTAAACTTCAAACCCATTACAGACACCATTATTAGCCTAACAGAAAGAGCGTGAAACAATCCATACTCTGTCACTTTAAATGCTGTGACGTCTTAAGTTCGCTAGAAGGTGAGAACTCTGCTATCTTTAGCTACTAGAAGTCAGTTTAAGACGTGTTATAAAGTCTAGTTGTGCTAACTGGGTTATTGCAGATTACTTTTGATGAGGCTGCTGATAAAACAACAGCAGGAATAGATCGCACAGCCACTGCAGGGAGCTGAGATCTGACAGGTCTGTTAGTCTTCTGTTGATAATGTTACACATCAGCCCGTGGGTAAGACAGAAAAACAACAAATCATGACACCTTCTGATCGAAAAGCAAGCCTCGCTCTCAGTTTAACTCTCTGTCTGCGAGCCAGAGCATTGTTTTGTAGCAAATGGGAGAAACAAAGCTATCTATTTTTGTGCAAAAAGATGCAGAATAAACATGTTGCACATAAGAAACTGTGCTAAAGGAGGAGAGGAGAACCAGCAGTTATGTAATGAGATTAAAGGCAGCAGACCGAGGGTACAAACCCAACTAATGACATCTAGTTGCAAAACATAACACTGCTCTGAATCTAATTTCTTATTTGGCATATACACATATTTAGCAATTATAAAATGGAGAGGGTGTGTGTTTGTATGTCACACAGCATGAAAGACATCTTATTTAAATCAATAGGAAACATTTAAAACCACCCTTTAACAATCAAAGACTCTGTACCAAGGGCATTTTTAGAAAGCAATCAGTGATAAAACAATCCACTTAGGGTACAATAAACTTACTCTGAATTGAAACTATGTAAAAGTAAATTGAGTGCAAAAACAAAAGAAAATTGATTTTTAACAATAGGTAGACTGAACAATTTATTAAAACAACTTTTGCAGGAAAATTTACAACCTTGTTTGTGCACACAAAGCCAATTAACAAACAGGCACATCTGTGGGCAGCAAAATGCTGTTCCTATAGACGTGTTTAAAAATAGACCGTGTCCACTTCTACTAGTAATCAGGAAGAAGGCAACAAATGGGAAATTTGTTTATCGTGTATCTCATCTACGGGTGCTGCCCTGTTGTTGTTTTAACTATGGGCTGAACATTAAAGAGACAATGTGTAGTTTGTACCATTAATCTCTGAAAATATCCATCAAAATGTTGTTTAAAATGAATAAAATGATGTCCAGTTATTCAAAAATATTGGCGGCTTTGTAACATATAACCATAAATATCGGGTCACACCATTAAAAGTGACAGAGTATGGATTGTTTCACGCTCTTTCTGTTAGGCTAATAATGGTCTAGCGTCTTTGGGGGACGTCATATTAGACGCCGTGTTTCCTAGACGGCTCGGGATCCTGCACTTGTTGACGACACACTAGATGACTGGCTGGACGTACAACTTACGGAGGTTACGGTGCCACGTTGAAAAACATTTATCCAGTAAGAAACACAAATTGAACTCATTAACTGCCAATGACGACAAAAGTCGTCATTTTAAATCAAACCGTTCACTGCTAATGACAACTAAGGCCAATGTGAGAACAAACATCCCAGCTCTAAAGCCGATTTTCATCCAGATACGTCACCCGTCACGTGATCAGGAAGCAGAAAATCCATGTGTTAGGAGATCGTTTTGGGCCACTGCTGTAAAAAAAAGTGAGGCGCGAACCGGAAAAGCTTCTGTCGCTCACAATTCAACAATGGATTAAGAAAGAATGGATAACGCTCGAAACGCGCAGATTCTTCCTAATGTGAGAAGTGGGTCTCCTCTTTGTTTTGGTTGTTTTGGTAGTTTTGGTAGTTTTGGCGTTGACGTCATCATATAGTGCAACATTCTGTGACTCTTAAAAAACTGTGAAAATGGTGAAAAATGCTGGCAGCGAAGGGCTTTTCTGATCAGGAGACGGCTGTCAGTGAATGAGTTAATAACAAAACTGCAAAACAACAGTCATTGTTGGTCCAAACGTCTTCTGTTGTCCGTGACTTCAAATGTTTTTCTTTTTGGGACTCTGGTAGTTTGGTGTAAAAACACACCAAGAGCTTTTAGTTCAAACAATGGAAAAAGAACAGTATAGTTGGGTTTGAGAGCTATTGTTGAATTAAGCTACTTTCACCTTATTTCTTTTAAATAGCATTTTCGCTGTTTTATCTGAATAATTTTTGTATTTGCTTGACATTATTACTTTAATTTTGACACTTCCTCGTGTTCTTTTCTTTGTTGCAGCGACACTAACATAATGAAAAAGTGCATAAATGTTAAAGTGTTGCATTTATGGACCCAAACAAAACAGATATTGATTGTTCTAGTCTCTGAAAATTGGCCTTGGAATTGGCTACTGAAAAGCCTGTGAGTAGTCCTGCTCATCCTCATGTTCAGCTACCTGTCTTACTCCACGTCTCTGGACTTCACACACACACACACACACACACACACACACACACACACACACACACACACACACACACGCACACACACACACACCAACTACTATCTATTAAGGCTCAAAATAACACTCGTGTCTTAAAATACCACGTCCCTGAAGTGTCAAAACTTGATTAAAATGAGTGTTTAGATGATTATCCTCTAATGATATTTGCAGTTCTATTAACCCTTGAAACAAGGACAACAATGAAAGAAGTTTCATTAAAAACCTATTATTAGTTTAATGTGGTTTACTTTTTACTAGAGTGTGCTTTTGTTTTTAACGTAGAAGAAACATTCTGCCAAATTCTGCTCGCATAAGCCAGGTGACGGGACATAGTCAGGTATGATTAACAAATTATTTTCTGTTTAAAAATCTATTTTTAAGCACAAAATCCATTGGAGTCCAAGGTCACCTGAGTCTTCTCTGGCACCCGGTTGGTGTTTGTCCACATGAGCCCAGAACACAATAACGCAGCGTAAACACCATCAAGGTTAAAGCAGCAGGACTTTGGTTTAAAGGCAGCTCAGCATATGGTCCTATTGGCTTCCCTCTGAGCTTTTTCCACACATTGTGTAACCCGCTGTTTAAAAAAAAACCTTTACGTACCTAAAATAAATCCCTACTTAATGACAGCCCTAAAATGCTACTTCCTAAAAATTTCATTTCCATCTCTTGTCACAAAGAAAACCAAATCCGCCTGGATAATCTCTACACTAGTGTCGAATTGCACTGCAGAGGTTTCTGCCCTGCAGTGTCATTGAGGGCTTCAGTGTCAGGAAAACCAACGCGTTTATTGCCACTATTTCCTCCAACAAAGGATTTCTTTCTTTCTTTGCACTAAAGAGGTCACAAATCGTAGCTGTAGAGGTGCTAGAAACAATGCAAGGAGATACGACCCGATCCCCCCACTGTATGTGGTTGGCCTCATCGAGTGTTTAATGAAGCATTTATGAGGAAAATCTTTAACCAAGAAGAAAAAAATAAAGATAAAAATAGCATCTGAGATTTACCAAAGGATTTGTTTCTCAGACAGGGACATAATTTGAGCAGCTTAACCCAGAATTACACATTTGACTGTGTTTTATTAATCCCACAGTGGAGGACTGTATGCCAGCACCGCACAGCAGTGAAGAGTGAATCATTAATGTGAAATGGTCAGTTTGACTGTTGACAGCACACCGCACTCGAACACCCACTGACTTTCTGTGATTTTAAGAGTAATGAGGGTGAGATAGAAGCCAGCACAGCGTATGTGTGGCAGCTGCTGTTACAGACTGAGAGGTGATGGTTTTATTTTTTTACAGTCAACGATAGATAGGATGTCAATAAGTATGGGTGTCTTTCAGAAGATTGCCTCTGCATAACAGTTTTAATTAGGTCTTATAGAAAATGTGTCAAGATGAAATGTTTAATGGAAATGTTTGTGTCCAAACCATACTCGGCCATACTCGACATCAAAGATGCCAAAATACTCAAACTTCCCACAAGAAACTTTATGCTCGGCTCACCTTGGGCTGCACCTCCACTTCCACGACTTGGTTCTTGTGCATGCAACCTTTGACGAAGCCCTCGACTTTGCTGTTGCACTTCATGAAGATCACGTAGGCGGCGTAGGCTGTGAGCAGCATGATGCTTTCCCAAAACGAGATGGTGTTATCCAGGAAGAAGATGATGAGCATGATCAGATCCAGGATGTAGAAGGACACGTCGCGGAACAGTGGCCACCACGTCAGGTTGAGGATCTCCTTGGAGAAGATGGCGCACATTCCGATGACGAAGAGGATGTTGAAGACGGCCGAGCCCACTATGGTCCCGATGCCCACGTTGCTGTGTGAGATGAAGACGCCGATGATGGAGGTGAAGAGCTCTGGAGCCGAACCACCTGCTGCCATGAAGGTGGCACCTGCCACATCATCAGAAATGGAGAACTTCTCCGTGATCACTGTCAGCGCTGGGACGAAGAACTCATCACACACAATGGCTAAGGCAATGAACATGTAGATCATGCCAAACATGTGGAGGACCACGGCTCCTTGGCGCCTTTCGGCCAGGCTAAAAAGGTCTGGTGGGTAATCCCCCTGTGTCTCGTTGCCATCTGCTGTAGATTTCATGGCTATGGGCATGTCAGCTGACACATTTGGGTCTTGCTGGTGCTGGGTGAAGAGAAGGGTCCTATGAGGGGCCGATTGGTGAAGGGTCTCCTCGGGGAGCTCTGACTCTCTGGGACCATATGAACTTATGGCCAAGGCACTGATGGAGACAACACTTAAGGCCACCAGGCTAACAACCAACCCTAGGATCCGCACTGGCCTTAGCTTTTTCCGCGGACACTTCCGACCCAGCTGCTTCCTGGTCGGACCTAGCAGAAGTCTTCGCTCTGGATAGTCCATGTTGAGTTGATTTGAACCCATAACTGAGAAGCACTTGGTGTCCTCACTCTCAGCAGGTAGTAGGGCAGAGTGAGGGAGCAGGATCTATCGGAGACAACACATCGCCTTCTACCCAGGTTCAAACGAGTTGAGAAGGTTTCAGGTGCTGTCCAGGATCTGGTTCGCCAAATGATGTCATCATATCAGCCTCAGCTAAATCACATTGAAATAATGAAAAAACAAAGTACCATTTAATCAGGCAAGAAATATGGTCCAGAACAGGCAATCAAGCAATAAAACAAGCTATAACATTTCTGGAAAAGGAATGGGTGTGAAAGCAGCTCCTTAACCCTTTAGGACAAGCTGCTACATGAATGTGAGAACTGTATAAGGTCAAAGGAAAGGTTTTAGCTGTTGATAATAGCTTGTTAGGTAACCATGGTAAACAGAAGAGGCTATTTAAGGACACCTTGAAAAGCACGTACCACTGGCTTTTATTCTATTACAAACTTAATGAGAAGCAGAGTTTAGTGAAATCAGCACTGTGCATAATCGATCAGACGTATCAACTTTGGGAGACAGAACAGTTTTGGCAATCATACTTGCTGATATTTATGATTCTACAATGCTCTGTCTGTGAGTTATGACAAGGTAAATATGCTCTTCACTTCCAGTTTGGAAAGAAAAAGTCAAACTGGTGATTAAATGGAAACCAATGGGACATTGACTTCCTTCTGGCGGGGTATTTGAGAGGTAAGTCCTATGAAATAGACAGGGGGGGAGGGGGGATACCTATACGTATAATTTGTTTATATATTGACGAAGTTGTAGGTGAAGAAGGAGTTACTTTGCAAATGATCTGAATGTTTCGGCCTAGAATCTGTGGAAAAATCTCAAATTCTTAGAACTAAACTATGATTGTTTCACGACCATAAATAATATCATAACGCCATATGTCTGTCCTATCCTGTCTCCTGGTGGTGGTCAGGACCCCCGTGGTGCCTGTGCATGGACGCCTCACCTCCGTCAGTGCACCCCTGGACAGCTGTGGCTATAGCTCATCATCTCCACCAGAAAGTGAAAGCATGTGAGGTTGTGTGTGAATGACTGGTTGTAAAGAACCTTGGGGGGTTGTAGAACCTAATGCTGGTCATTCACCATTATTTAAATGTTGCTCTGTGGTAAAACATACGAGTCACGGTACCATCAGTAACTGAAACAAATGTTTAGATTTGTAAGTTCATGGACGTAATTTTGGGGGGGACAGGGGGGACATGCCCCCCCCCCCCCCCCCACGTTTTCCAAAGTCAAGTTTGGACCCCTGCGCTTTTAACCATCCAAAAACAATCTTACGCTATATTAAATTGACACTGGTTGAACTCTAGGACCAAGCAGAAAACAACCGTTTGTGTTGAAGCCTGTTTCCCATTAGAGCATACTGTAAAGGTACCCCCCCCCCCCCCACCCCGTCCCCCCCATTTCTAAAGTGAAAATTACGTCCATGTAAGTTGCTTATTTTTGAAAAGTTGCGACTGAGTTTTATTACTGAAAGTGATTAAATGATACCTCAACATTTAAGTACCATAAAAAATTGAAATAGCAAAATCTGTAAATCTTGAGTTGGTGTCTTCAGTAAATCTGCAAAGTTAAAAGAAGACAGAAGAGAATGAAATCCAATCTGTTCTAGATACAAAGACACGACCGACTGTACACACTTTCAAATCACCTCATTTTGTTCTGCCACACTAAACTCTAAAGTGTTGAGAAGTAAGGCATTGACCTGCTATTGCAAATTAAAAATTAATCTGCTTTGCCACAAAATGGTCTCAGTGGTCAACCATTAGCTCTCCTCTTCAGAAATTAACTGAAATCCATCTTTACAAGTTCAGGTCCATCCCTGCAAACAGGGGAAAGAAAAAAGCGTGATTTACAATCATCTGACTAATTTATGGTCACATCTAAAAGACGATTTGTAATAACTGTCTCTGGTAGATCGTCCTGTCCTGTTTGACTTCAGGTGATTATGGAGGAGACAACTCTTCTCTCCCCCATCCTTCCCTCCCAGTCTGCCCTTCAGAATCGCCCTTTCGGAGCTAACATCCTCCTCCGAACAACAACAGACCCAACTCAGTCGGAGAGGCGCATGACGCGCGGAGGCTCACGCCGAGACCTTCCTTACCTTAGACAGAGGCGACAAAACAACAGCGGGGCCCGGGTTCCGATCAGGAAATCCTCTCCGGTGCCCTCTTGCTCTCATTCAGCAAAAAAATAAATAAAAATGTGACCGCTCACTCACTGACGACAGAGGAGGAGCTTTGGAGAGAAAGCCGCTCTTCCAAATGCGCTCACCTCCTCTCTCCTCCTCCTTGCAGCCGCAGCAGCATCGGGAGCAGCAGCATCCTTCCGGTCTCAGATCAGACGGGAGGAGCAAAAAACCAGATGGTGTGTTAGAACGATGTTGAACGCACGTGAGCTCGTGGGGGTTTTGATAGATAGACAGGCGGTGTCTCCCTCCCCTCTTTAGTGATGCTTCAGGTTGAGGGAGGAGTTGCCGTGGTTACACGGAGAAGGCAGTATCCGTGTTTTTTTGTGTGATGACGGAACAGGTGGAAACGTGGGTCATTTCAAGGTTACGTGCAAGTTGTGGCTCCATTTCTTAGTTAAAGGTGCAGTGTCACTGTTTTCACTTGGAGCTATAACAGCTGCAGCAGGAATGGTTTAAACTCGGTTCAGTGTGAAATTAAGTTAAACCATCACAGTCTATCAGATAACACCCATTCGTGAAGTCTGCAAGAGCTGTTTCAGTCAAATGTGTTACTGGTTCATTAAAACTATTTCTGCATTAATGAACTTCTTCATTAGAGACAGAAACGGTCCAGCTGAAACCTACATTTACTGCTTCTTTCCAATTATTATTGGAATGTAACAGCAGCTTTTTTCACTTTCACATGTCGGAGATTCGGAAAATAATCAAAGGTTTCTAATTATCCATCGAACATTGAGTCAGGAATACAAAGCTTTGATTTTTGTGTTGAATGAATTTTACTGGAGACCTGTTTCCACTATTAAAACTTGAAGGTAATTGACGGACCTTTGTGGCATGAACATGTCTCTATTTCACCGGGCCAGTCTGAAATGACTTTCTGGGCCATTTCAGGAACCTATAGGGAGCCTAAGTTTCCTCTTCTTCGGGTTGGCTCATGGTTCCTGGAGCAAAGAAAAAATGAATGCAAGTAAAGTGTGATTCAGGGTGTGGGTCAAAGCGAATTAGAAAATAGCTCTTTTAGCTCCGTTCACTTGCATTTATTTTTTCATTCTTCCGGGGACCCACATTCTCACACCCAAGGTGTCAAAATAAGACGCGTGTGACCAAGCCTCAATATATGACGATTCGGGACGCCCCAGCGCGTCAGGACACGACGATCAGGGACAAACAGCTGCCGCAGCGTCCCAGAGCGTCGGTATCCGACACCGGTGGTGGGACAGACATTAGAACTACTTGTGAACTACTTAACCTTCCCCTCACCCCAATCCTAACCTTAAGGTCACAGTTTATGGACCTTAAGGTTAGGATTGGGGTGAGGGGAAGGTTAAATAGTTGAATAATGTCCGTGTGACCGCGCGCGTCTAACAGTGACGCCAGCAGAGCCACATGACCCAGCGTGTCCCAGATCGTCGTCTCCTGAATCTCTGGGGCGTCCCGAATCGTCATATATTGAGGCTTGGTCACACGCGTCTTATTTTGACGCCTTGGGTGTGAGAATGTGTTGGAAAGCGAGGAGACTTAGGCAAGTTGACCGAAGAATCTCCTCTCCCCTAGCATAGCTGCTACATGACCAGATTTATAGTCCTTTCCTCCATGTTTAATGCTGCTTCTTTTGTCCTAAACGATGGATTTAAAGCTCACTAAACTCACAGCCATCTTCCTTCGTATCTGGTTTGATGACATCAACTTGGTGGGACGAGCATTTGTAGTGCTCTGTCTTTTCCCACCAAACCTAAAATAACTTTTGCCACCATTTGAAAGTGTGAAATCCATGGCACATAACAAACGGGATTGGAAGATAGCTCTTATCGCCCCATTGACTTCCATGTTTAGCTTTTTCACCAATTCAGACCTGCAACCCACATAATATGAAGCTAACTAACAAATAAGGAGGCTCTGAAAACATTTTTATTTTAAATGTTAAACTATGAGGCTATTTTAAAGCACATTAGCACAAAAGGCTAAATAAACATTAACCCTCTGGAGGCAGGCGTTGCAGATTTGCAACAGTTAAAACCTACCTACCTGGTTCTCCACATACGTATTTCATGAGCATTTTTTTTTTTACTCAGAAGTACCCCTGGAGGACTTAGTTGTTCGTCCTTTTATCAAAATTTATTTTGAGTCTGAGAGGGTTAAAAGTCATGTTTCAGCTTATATGGTACCCCTTTATTAGACTCCACCATCGTCCCTTACAGGGCCTTGGTAGCCTTGTCTAATAAAACCTTTTTACCATTAAGCAGGTTGAACTCTTTTGGATGGGAGCAGTCAGTATATGATGGTGGTGTTTATAGCAAGAGCTTGTGTTGTATAATAAATGATGAGTCATTGACCTCATTGGTTCCTGCCCTCAGTGCTTTTGTATTTTTCGCTGCAGCGGCTTTATGTTAGCTAACACAGTCAGTGAAAGTATTCACTTGCATTACATCACATTATCGATAAAAGAAGGAAAAAGAATGAAAGCTTCTAGAGCACCACTGCCAACAAACATTGATGATATAAGTGGCTCAGAGAATATTACCCAGATGTGGCAGAGTCATTATTGTGAGCTTTTTAACTGTGTAAAAAGTAACCCACCTATGGTGGGTAGTATTGATACTATGGAGGATGTGAGGGTCTCTCCACAGGAGGTCCATGACGCAGTTATGGGCTTAAAGGACAATAAGGCATGTGGTAGGGATGCTATCTCTGCAGAACACCTAAGGCATGCGAGTAGAAAACTCTTTCCTCTGCTTGCTATCTGTTTTACAGGGTTTTTAATTCAAGGCATTTTACCTGACTCCATTTTATCTGTTACAGTAGTGCCAATTTTAAAAGATAAAGCTGGCAAAATCAGCGAGAGATAATTATCGGCCAATAGCTCTGGCCAGTATTTTATCTAAAGTTATGGAGAAAGTTGATTAAAATAGAATGGAGCATTTTACTCTGACAACTGACAATCAGTTTGGTTTTAAATCAAAGCATGGTACAGACATGTGTATTTTTGCTCTGAAAGAGTTTTTAGATTTTTATAACACGCGTAATCCCACTATTTTTATGGGTTTTATTGACGCATCAAAGGCTTTTGATCGCATTAAACATGAAACATTGTTTTATAAATTACAGGACAGGGGTGTTCCTGAGTCTGTAATTAGGATTTTATCATTTTGGTATACACACCAGTCTGTGTAGGTGAAATGGGGTAATTGTGTGTCCTCTCCTTTTAAGGTCTGTAATGGTGTTAGACAAGGAGGTATTCTGTCTCCTCTTCTGTTTAATGTCTATATGGACGATCTGTCGAAGCGGCTTAATGACTGCAGAACTGGATGTGTGGTTGGTGGGACATATTAATCCACTTAATATATGCAGACGATTTGGTGATCTTCTGCCCATACGGTGCTGGCTTTCAGCAGTTACTGACGGTCTGAGTTTGACATCAATTTTAATGCCAAAAAAGTCGTCTTTTAATCGTGAGAACCAAGGACAGTAAGCTGGTTTTTCCTGATTTCCTTCTATCCGGTGCTGTTCTAAATGAATGTTCTGAGATTAAATGTTTGGGACATCACATATCTGCTGACCTGACAGATGATGATGTGGACATTTACAGACAGTGCCGTCTACTGTATGCACAAGCAAACACACTGGCACGCAGATTTGGAATGTGTTCTGTACCTGTAAAAACTGCCCTATGTACACGGCCCATCTATGGAAGCGTTATAAGCAAAGCAGCATGAGGAAACTCACTGTTGCATATAAGGATGGGATGGACAATGCTTAGAATGCCAAGACGGTGCAGTGCAAGCACAATGTTTGTTAGTGTGGGTGTACCTACAAGCCCTGCAGTGAGACAGAATCTCATGTACAGTTGTATGTGTAGATTAAGGGACTCTAAGAACAGTATAATCCTGTCCCTGACAAACCCCACACAGAGTTCTGTCATGTTTTATTCTAACATGTGGAATTATTGGCATCTTAAACTTTATGTGAGCCTAAAAGAGCTTGCACGTATTTTTACCTGTTTTACTTATTTATGTTTTTATTATCTGTTTTGGACCTTGTGTCTTTAATAAAGTGATTGATTGATTGGTTGATTGATTGATTTGTTGGTTGGTTGGTTAATTGATGAAGTGAGTTATGGTGACCTTTATTCTTGGTTTACTAAATTCAATAATCTTGTGCCCTCTTAAAGATGCGAGGAAAGACTCAGATTCACATCATGTCCTCGTAAAATATGTCCAATTAACAAACTCACCTAAAAATATCAGAAATGAATGACATGTCAATTTAAGCTTAATTTCTGAGTACAAGCTTGATTGTGTCTCCAACACCCACTACATATAAAGGCTGTAGAGTTGTGGGTGCTGATTTTCCTCAACTTTTCCAATAATTTCCACCATTTTCTAGGAGAGTAAGCATCTGATCGACTTGTTCAGAGGATGAAAATAGGGAGTGGAGGTGTGGAAAAACACAAGTCAGCATCTTCAGTGTCTTTCTATCTAAAAACTGTGTTAATTAAACTAATTTATATCACATCTAACAACAGAAAGGACATTTTCGCAGGGGCTTTTTTTCTATTTCTAAAGAAATGATTGCCTATCATTTATTTATCTTCTCTAGTTATCCAAGCAGAAGACTTTTTCTAAACTCATCCAGAGGAACTCTATAGCCTCAAAAACACTGAATACTTAACGAATGCAGTTTGCAATACATAAGGCTTCCACCTAGACCAAAGAGTTCAATCAGAGCATTCACACTGGCTGTCATGCGGTCACAGGGATATCAGCTCACAGTGTTTGATGGTTCACGTTATATTTACGGGTATATCTTTAAACATATTATGTCACACATCTAATCATTGTTGTGGAAGCAGATTTCTGGAAGTGTACAGCACATGAACCACAGTCTGTGTGAATGGCAGTCTGTCTGGAAACGGTGTGGAAACCGGGCTGCCGTTACACGCTTAGTGTGAACGATCGATAAGCCTCTCTAATGAGTCCAGGCTCTGCCCTGAGGTCCTCCGCTGGTGGGACCTGTCTGAAACACCTCATACGGTACATTTCCACAACGAAGGGGAAATCTCCAGCTGGCAAAAGTGACACAGAAGTGACAAAAATTGCAGTTCCCCCCTGATTCACTAGATGCTGGCTCCAACACCCTTGTTGACTCCCATGTTAAAAATTCCAATTTCACAGCAGAAAAAAACAGTATGGTTCAAAAAAACCATTTTAGGTTTAATAGATCTAGTTTACAGTCATGGCAAC